GCTTACATTTCAAACAAACATCATATCCACATTCCTATCAACAGGAAAGAAAAATGGCAGGAAAAATAGACATGTTCTCTCTTGCCATGGGACCTCACCTAAGTAAAAGCTATGGCAAATGTGCTATTTACTGCTGACAGGCATGGATGCAGATAAGAAATTAGGGGGACGCCTAGGTGGCTCAGTTAAGTGACTGACTAGCTCAAGTCAGATCGTGATCCCAGGGTCATGGGATCAAGCCCCAGTTCAGGTTCTGCGCTTATAGCACATAGCCTGCTTGGGATTCTGTCTCTCCCTCAATCTCTGCCCCTCCCCTGCTCTCTTTCCCCCTCTCTCCCTCACTAAATAAACTTTAAAAAGATTAGGGGTTCTATTATTACAGATAGTAATGGATACTGGAGTGGGCAATTAGTAATTCTGTCCGCCATTCTCAGCTCTATTACATTACTCATCTTTTTGTCCCTCTTTACCTGCCTCACTATAACAGGGACAAAGAGGGGAGAAATGTAGCATTTGACCATAGAGGTAAAGTTCTTTGTCCTTTTACCTCTCTGTTCTTTCTCCCCAAAGTTACTAGAATGTGATGTACAGGCAAAGAAAAGGGGGAAAGTTTTAGGAGACCTGTTTCTCAGGGTCACTGTGAAAGCTGAATTAAAGTCCTTACAAAGAGCTTTGAGATCTTGCTTCCTAGGCTGTGTTCAAAGTCTTACTATTAAATGAGCACTAAGTCAACGGGCCTTTTTTAAATGGCAGCTGAGGAAAGACACTTATTCAAAAAGAACAAGTATGGAGAAATTGGACAACACCTTGATGGGTAATCAACATTATCATCACCGAGGGGCGGATGGACATTATGTGCCTGCCTACAGATGTGATGTCCCAGAGACACAACTGAGGACATGTACCAGAATGTAATCATGAGAAAACATCAGGCAAACCCAAAATGAGAAATGAGGGGCACTGTATTAAACAAAAGTTAGTGAAATTATCAGTGCCATAAAAGACAAAGGCTGAGAATTGTTCTAAATTAAAGGAGACTGAGGAAATCTGACCAAAAAATGAAGTACATGATTCTGAAGGGGATCCTGTAAAGGAAAGGGAAAAAAACTGTAAGGACCATGTTGGATCAATGGACAAAAATGAAATCAGATGGGCAGATTAAATTATTGAATAAAGGATACATTTTTTGAGCTTGACGAGTAAACCATGGTTGTGTAAGAAAATGTACTTATTCTTAAGAAAATGTATACCTTAAAAAAAATGTATACCTAAGTATTTATGGTAAAAGGCTGGATATAAGCAACTTACTCCCAAATGGTTCAGGAAAAATATATATACATGTACATACAGAGAGAGGGAGAAAACACACACACAAATAATCAGACAAATGAAGTGAAATGCCAATAGCTAATACCTTGGTCAGAGGGTATTTAAGTGTTCTTTGTACAGTTCTTTTCTTGCCAACTTTTCTATTAAGTCTGCAATCTCTCCCACCCCTAGAGAGGACAATAAACAGCACACAGATTTCCTTAATTCTGTACCTATCTAATGAACTATCCTAAATGTTTTATTTGATTCTGTGCCAGAAAACCTAACCTGAAAGCTTTCAATTGGGAGGGAAAGAAATGACCCCAATCAGATTAACATTTATTTCAGGACATTTCTGTAAACCTAAGGCAGGCTAGGCTTTTTTCTTCTGTTTACCAAATACATCCAGGAGCCTAAAAGATACCATCTGACTGAAGCTATTTAATTGGGACAAACACTTAATCACCACTGGACTTTTTCCATACAGGATGACCAAATTAGCCTGTGGCTCTATGCAAGGATCCCATTTCTCGTGCAGCTGGGAATCAAGGGGACTGGCATTCTGACAAACCACTGAAGCCGAGGCAATGGAAACGATGCTAGCTTAGACTTCAAATGCACTTCCAGCGACTCTGGATCTTCTCACAGAAAAGGGAGAAAGCATGTTGCCCCACATCTACACTAACTTCTTCAATTCTTGAGATCTAGTGGCATTCTTGTTTGCACTATACAAACCTCACATTATAGTTAATTCACATTTTACAATTAAAACCAGATGTCTAAAGGCGTAGATCAATAGCAATAAATAAGTTTGGGTTCTTCACAGCCTCTTACAAAGGAAATGTCTTATGATCATTAGCTGTAACAGTTTGACTTCTTGAAAGTTGTTTTTAATGCTCATTTATTTTTGAGAAAGAGAGAGAATGAGCAGAGGAGGGGCAGAGAGAGAGAGACAAAGGGAGAGAGAGAATCTGAAGCAGGCCCCGAGCGGTCAGCACAGCAGCCCCAACATGGGGCTCGAACCCATGAACCTGTGACCGAGCCAGTCAGACATTTAGCAAACACACCCAGGTGCTCCAGTTTGACTTTGACGGAGTTAATAAAAAGACAAAAAGAACCTTAGAACTATTTATTCCTACTTTAGTTCAGTGTAAAGTTTGTTAAACTTTTGAGTCATCACACTGTTTTTCTAAAACTATATAACACACGTTCTTCCAAGAAAACAAATGTTTCGGGGCCCCTGGTTGTTAGCTCAGTCGGTGGAGTGTGCAACTCTTGATCTCCAGTGGTGAGTTCAAGACTCAACATTGGGTATGGAGAGTACTTATAAATAAAAACTTAAAAAAAAAAAAAAAGAAAAATAATGTTTCTAGAATGGATATTCAACCTTAAAAATTTACTTTGGAAAAAGCTTTCTTTTAGGAAGACTGGGGTTATTCCAAAGTACCTGAGACTATTTTAAAAAATAAAATAGGGATCTGTGGGCTTTCTATATATACACAAAAGACAGCCTCAGCACGGTGAGCCCGAGAGAGCCATCCAAACCACAAACGTGCTGAGTCACATGTAAGCTCAGTTGGCAGTTTCCCCTAACAACCTCTTAAGTCTGCAGATTGAAATAACAAATCTGAGCTATAAAAGTCAGCTATACAAATAATCAATTTCTGGTAAGTCTTTCATTGAAAGATATAACAACGGAAAGCTAAAAAGCAACAAGTAGTCCTAGTAAAGGCTCAAATTAGGAAATTGACTCAGCTTTTAGAGGCTTAGCATAAAATCATCTCTGTCCAGATGTCTATTTTTGACCACCTGTTTACCTAGATAAGGTTATTTGCCTTAATTAGCCCCTCTTCAAGTTTCTAGGGGGAAAAAGCCACCCACCTAGTGCTATTTCAGTTTCCAGCTATACATCTATAAAAAAGTATATATAGACATACACATATCTCCAGTATTATCCTAAGACAGAGTTTGCCCAGCCCACCAATAATAAAAATTTCATGGGGAGCTTTCCAAAATTGTGAATTTCCTAAGCCTCACCTCAGATATATTAGATCAAAATCTGGAATCTTTATTTTAAAAAAATCAGCTAGGTTGTAACTTCTGGTTTAGGGCACCCTCTGCCAGAAAATCACTATAACAATAACCTCAGATGGCAAAGATCATTTTATTATTGTTTTTAATGTTTACTTATTTTTGAGAGACAGAGAGAGTCACAGCATGAGCAAGGGAGGAGCGGAGAGAGGGAGACACAGAATTCCAGGCAGGCTCCAGGCTGAGTTGTCAGCACAGAGCACAACATGGGGCTTGAACCTATGAACCAGGAGATCATGACCTGAGCTGAAGTTGGACACTTAACCAACTGAGCCACCCACGTGCCCCTGTTGTGTCTTTAAGTAAAGATTCAAATTCCAAAAGATACAGAAAGGTGACAAGCCTTTCTCATTCATCCCGGTCCCCCAGCCACCCATTTACTCTTCACTGGCAACGAGGATTACCAGTTGTGTATATGTCCTTCCAGAGATCCTTTATGCACAAACAGGTACATATACATACTTCAAGTACGAATAGCAGTGAATAATACATTCTCAACAAATCAAGGTTCAAAACAATGTGGATGTTGGAGATCTTTCCCCACAGAGAGCTTCTTTATTGTTTTAACGTGCCTAGTATATGCCATTTTATAGATGTATCATACTTGATAAATCAGGCCCCTTCGATGGACATGTATGTTATTTCCAGTCTTCTGCTACAATGCACAGTCTTTTTTTTTTTTATCTTAAAAAAAAATTTTTTTTTTTAATGTTTTATTTTATTTCTAGGAGAGAGAGAGAGACAGCGTGAGCAGGGGAGGGTCAGAGAGAGAGGGAGGCACAGACTCCGAAACAGGCTCCAGGCTCCAGGCTCCAAGCTGGCAGTCAGCACAGAGCCCGACGCGGGGCTCGAACCCACAAACCGCGAGACCATGACCTAAGCGAAAGTCGGACGCTCAACCGACTAAGCCACTCAGGCGCCCCATACAATGCACAGTCTTGTAGTCAAAGGTACTGTAATTCTGACAGATCCTGCTAAACTGCCCTCCCCAAAGACTGTAGCAGTTTTTATTCCCCTTTGCAACGTGAAATAGCAGTTCGGATTTTACACCGAGCTGAATATGAACAGTGCCAATGGCTTACTTTCTAGATGTTTCTTTGATATAACAAATGACATTCTGAAGACAATTTCTGTACCATGGAAATCTGCATAATTTTACCATTGCTAGTAGAAAGTTTTCTGATACTGAAACCTATGAAAAAGAGGAACTAAGAGAAAGGAGAAGCTGAGGTTAAGGCCATTCTTGCCATCTTTAGCTGACATGCATACACTGAAAAGTCTTTTTCCCTACTTCAGCATAAAAGACTTAGAACTTTCCACTTACCACACCAAATGTTCACGTGAAAAAGTAACCAAATGTGCTGTTTATTATTTTAATCAACAAAAAGCTCCACCAATGTTAGATTTACCAAGTCTTGTACATAAGAGCTTTACTAAATAAAGGCAAGATGTCCAAAGGGACTAACTCGATAACTAAGGAAAAACAAAATGCCATGCAGAGGGCATGCTGAAGAGAGAATGAGCTAGAGAAATACAACTGGAATACTTCATCTCTTTTATGACACACAAAGAATACAGGGGGGAGAAAAAAGGGAACACAGTTTTAACTAAAACAGTTGACAACTTTATTTTCACATTTCACAATACAAATGAAAATTGCTCTTTTTGTTGTTTGTTTGTCCCACTACTCCCTCGCAAAAACTATCCTCTGTTTGATAGGAAGGGGGAGCAAGTCTTCCTTGTCATGCCGTTAGAAAACACCCAGAGTCACAGCACCATGATCTCCTGGTGAAGCAGAACGAGTGATATAAAATGGATACAAAGAGGCCCCTGTCTCTCCTTATCTGTCCGGTCGAGTCATTCCCGGTCGAGTGGGCACCATCATGGGACGGGCAGGAGGTCTCATCATCGGGGGCCCAGGCATCATCGGCATGTGGCCTCCCATAGGCGGCCGCATTCCAGGAGCTGCAGGACAAAACAAAGAAAAGGAAAAAAGAGAGTCAGAAAACTACTACTTATAGAGAGCTTAATGGGACTTCAACGAAAGACAAAAAGTAGCCCCCTGCAAAATGCTAGAAAAAAGACACACTTGCCAGAAGAAATGCAACAAATTTATCACCTCTGTAAATTACTTAGACATTCTCAAACAAAGAACAAAGGTCAACACAAGAACCATATGGGCATCATGATCTAATCATAGTAAGGGGGAGCTATTAATAGAGTGCTTTCCAGAAACCACCAGGGACACTAGTTCCCTAAACTGACCTTTTCTCACTCGGGGAAATTCACAACTAAGTCACATGTTACCCAGTGAGCTCTCTTCATCAGTTCTATCCACCATATAACCAGGAGCTATTTCCATGAATGGCAGAGAGGACAATCTTAACACTAAGCGTTTGTTCGGAGTTGTAGGAAAGGTGAGCAGGAGGCCCATGCTCAGAACCTGTTAGTAACCATACTTAGCTCAAGTCAAGAAAAATAGGCAATAACATGATTTATGACAATTAGCGCACATATACAAATCTAATTTTTCTAATGCATTTTAGAAACTGTCAAAGAATTTTTTGAAGTGTCCTATCAATACACCAGACAAATAAATGAGCCAGGGAAGGGAGGGCAGAAGAGACGGGGGTTGGGGAAGAACACTGGCAGCTTCACAGAATTGCTAATATTCTACTTCCTTGGCCGAACGGTGGGTTCACGGGTATTCATTTTATCATTATGCCTCATAATTTTCATGTTATAGATCTTCTCTTTAACTATCAAATTTTACCTAATTACTTTTTAAACCATTTTGATTAAAGGTCTGCCACAGTTCAAGAGAAAACTGCATTTAGAACCGAATACAGCCTTACCACAAAAAGTAAACACAAGGATATGCAAAGACACAAAATTCAACAGGTACAAATGTTAAGATCAATTTCAAAAGGAATGGAAAATGATACTAAGTTTCTAAGTATCTTATTAAAAACTCTACCATAACATAATCTAAATTCAGCATTTCCTAGAAGAAACTCAGCTAGACCAAAGACTGAAAACCAGGCAGCTGAAAACTTGTTTACTTTGGTCTCCACAGTACATTTAATTTTAATCAGTTGCCAACACTGGCAATTATTAAGTCTAATTACTAGTAAGTCTGGATACCTTTCATCAACCTTTTATTATGGAAATATTCAAACATACACAAGAATAGAAAGAGTATAATGAACATCCATGTACCCATCATCCAGCTTCAATAATTACTCACCCATGGCCAACGTTCTATGTTATGTCAACCAATTCTTATCCCTGCCCACCCCCAACTAGTTAAGCATCTTAATTAAATCCCGTATTATGATTTTATCCTGGCTGAAAACAACAACAAAATACTCGGGAGAACTGGCAACACTAAGCCTGCATTCTCAAATGTCAACTGCAGGCCGAAGCTAGTTCTAGAAGGCTTCTTTTTTTTTTTTTTTTTCTAGAAGCCTTCTTTAGGTGTGTCATGCATTTCCAGTCCACCACATTCCTAAACCCTCTAGGATTTGAATTTGTGACCTTGATTTAAGAATGTAAAAGAAGGGATGCCTGGGTGGCTCAGGTCATGACCTCAGGGTAATGAGCCAGAGCTCCACGCTGGGCAAGGAGCCTGCTTAAGATTCTCTCCCCATCTTCCTCTGCCTCTCCTCCACGTGCCAAGTGCACACGGGCTCTCACTCTCAAAAAAAAAAGAATGCACAAAAAGCCATCTAAATCACTTTGTTTGGGCTTCAAAACCCAGTAAGGCAGGAACTCTTACCTATACTCTCCTCCTAACCCTCTAAATGATACCCGTAGCAAGCACATTGAATGCTTCTAGCTAGGAAGCTACTCTAACTAAAACCTCTGCACCTTGTCTACCTTGTCTTACCAGTCGAGTTGTAGACTTATGTCCGTTGTATTTATTCTTATTATAGAATTTAACTTCTGCAAGTCAATAAAAATGAGCATTTTATTTTTTTATTTATTTCTAGCAGAGAGAGAGAGACAGCGTGAGCAGGGGAGGGTCAGACAGAGAGGGAGACACAGACTCTGAAATAGGCTCCAGGCTCTGAGCTGACAGTCATCACAGAGCCTGACGCGGGGCTCGAACCCACGAACCACGAGATCATGACCTAAGCGAAAGTCGGACGCTTAACTGACTAAGCCACCCAGGCGCCCCAAAAATGAGCATTTAAAAAAGAACTGCTTCCGTGAAAACTATGTGGATACTTAGAAAAAGTAAATTATCCCAAAAAGTGCTCACAGATTTGATAGGTGAGAGGATCATAAAAGATTGTAGATTGCCTCACAAGGTTTCTATCCGTGAAAGAAATAGACACTAAAGTTGGTAAAGAATGCATTATGGGTATGGTTTACTGGTTTAGGCAAGAAATATATGGTGCTCCAATCAATCACTATGCTCGATTTCAAAGCAAAGGCCCTGACTAGTATCAGAAAAATCTGCATGTTAGTATATATTTATGTTTATGTTAAATTACAATGTTTGAGATGGGGTTTCCCCCTTTCCTGAATAAAAGACTAACTACAGGGCTGAGGCCTTTTTCATACACTAACCTGGCCTAGTTAACCAAAGATTGAGTCAGCAACAAGAGGCAGCAGTGCTCCAGATCAAAACTGAAAAAAGTAGCAGTATAAGTATTTACCTATCTTACCCCCTTGGGAAAAATTCAACTACCTTCCTCTTCATTATGGATGACCAAAAGTCAGGAGGAAGGCAAGGAAACAGGAGGGAGGGAGAAGGAAATAAAAAAGGCAGCCGTATCCTTTTAGTAGCACAAGGTCTTTGGATATCATCCAATCATACTGATAAAATTTTATCATTACAGATTCACCAAGTGTAATTTGTCGCAATACATTTAGACAACGTAGTAAGAATTCCACTTAAACAAAGCACTAAAACACAACACAATGGAGCATCCTAAAAGGAAAGAGATTCAAACTTACCAGGTCCCACTGGCATCATCCCAGGAGGAGGAGGGCCCATCATTGGCATCATGGGAGGGCCCCCCATGTGGGGTGCTGGCATCATACCAGGGCGAGGAGGACCCGCTGCAATAACAAATAGGGGCTGAGGTTAAGATATGCTTATATATTAACATTTCCTCTTCTATGAACCTAGTAGGGCTTATGGTCCAGCCCAAGTTCTGGAATAATAGACTTCTTACAATTTCTTTTATAACAGTAGATCCATAAAAATCAATATGCTACAAAACTTCAGTTACTTTATGACTGAAAAATAAGAACAAGACTGCCTAGACAGAAATACAAAATGAAGTCAGCACAGGTTTAAAAAATTCCAAAAGTTTAATTTTTTTTAAAGGGTATTACACCTTCTGTAGAGTTCCTGGCCAACTTAAGCCACAAGTACATAATTTCAGATCTGTTTTTTAAAAAAATTAAAATCTTTGGAGTGCCTGGGTGACTTAGTCAATTAAGCGTCCAACTTCAGTTCAGGTCATGATCTCACAGTTGGGGAGTTCGAGCCCCACATCAACACTCTGCTGTCAGCACAGAACCCATTTCATATCCTTTATATCCCTCTCTTTCTGCCCTCTTCTCTCTCAAATATAGACGTTAAAGAAACATTAAAATATATTTTAATATTTTATATTAAATATATATCATATATATATATAGCTGTTAAGATATATATCTTCTTTTAGCTAAAAAAAAGTCAAAATCTTTAAAAGATTCTTTGGAAATACACAGATGTGTATGCAGGGATATTCCTGACAGTACCATTTACAACATTTTGGAATAACTTAAGTGTCCAACAATTACAAAAAGGTGAGGTTAATTATGGCACATTCATATTATAGATTATTCCACTATTAAAAATAACAGAGTTGGGTGCCAACCAGCCAACATACAGAGTAAGACAGGTGACCTGAGAGCTGCTGTGACCAAGGCCTGACCAGGCCCAGGATGGTGGAAGCCCAAGAAAGGTTTGGTGGGCCATTAGTGGTCTACCTGCTTTAGTGTACAACTACAGACCACTTGTGTTCACATCCATGGTTACTTATAGGACCAATGTTAGGTTTCTGAATTCAATTTCAATTCTAAGCCCTTCCAGGAAAGCCATGGAACTTAAGGCCTAGTTATTCCCTTCTGTCATTTAGAAACAAAAAACCTTCTCAGAGAAGAGAGGCCTTTGATCCACCCCATTTTCAACTGTCCAATTCTTGGTTTTCCCAAGGTATATATATTTGTGTTACCTGGGTTAAAAATAGGAAGAAAGACTGAAGAGTTTATCCACTACACTTTAATCCATTTATTGCGTTCAGAGCAATAAATAATTGAATGTACTCATCAATATCTCTCCATATATTAACTCATCTAATCACAGGTACATTCTGACTTTTCCACTGAATTGTCTTGGCCCCACTTGGGATGTCATGAATACCATATCCTAGTAATAATGCAATCAGAAGGTAACTCCGAAGACATTTCAGAAATCATTCCACTGATGTTACTTTCTTTTACTATCTATTCATTCAACAAGCATTCAGAAGCCAACTATAAGATAATTCAACAAAATCAAAGGATAATCTGCCCCTCTTAACTGATAAAAACTTTGTGAACTTACGGAGACTGGGGGGAGGTGGAATCATGGCCCCTGCAGGAGGGGGAGCAGAGAATGGAGTAGGAGGAATCTTTCCTTGCTGAAATGCAGCGGCTTTGGAAAGAAAAAAACAACACACACCGAATAAGAACTCAATACCCCATTTACTAAACTAACCCTTTTCATTTTATTTCACAATGATTTCGCTCTAAAAATTATTCATTTAAGATCACTACATCACGGCCTCTACAGTTTCTACATCAACTGTGTTTACCAGCAGAAATTACAACCTGGCTTACTGCTTTGGGTTTCTTAACTTTTATTTAGTCAAAAATGCTATGGTCAAATTAACTATGAGAGCCTGGAGTGAAGACCTCCCATCTACCAGTGTCTTACCAAAGAGAAGCAATCAATCACCTTTAATCTGTAGATGTAGTTTATAACCAATTCAAACCATTCAGTTTTGTTTGAAAAATGTGTGAGGGATGCCTGGGTGGCTCAGGAGGTTAAGCATCTGACTCCTAGTTTTGGCTTAGGTCATGATCCCACAGTTTCATGAATTTAAGCCCCGCATCTGGCTCTGCACTGACAGCACAAAGCCTGCTTGGAATTCTCTGTCTCCACTGTCTCTGACCCTGCCCCACTTGCACTGTCTCTCTCAGAATGAATAATCAAACTTAAAAAACAAAAACAAAAACAAAAAACCCAAGTGTGATACCAAAGACCAGACTTTGCAAAACTTTTCATCATTATGGTTTACCAATTTTGAATGTACTGAGCTAAGAGATATGAATGAGAAACAACGATTTTAAAGAGCCCACTCTGAAGGACAGTATGATCTTAAAAAATGTCCAATAAAATAAACTTCTTTCTTTCTGACAATATGAGGCACAAATGAAAAGAAACTGAAGATCATTTCTATTAGGCTTTACAAAAAGTCACAAACAAATACTAAAACATATACTCATAGTTAACAATACTGGAATTAAAATTAAAAATACACTTGGTTGCCAGAGTGGCTCAGTTGGGTATGCATCCAACTCTTGATTTTGGCTCAGGTCATGATCCTATGGTTCATGAGATCAAACCCCATGTCAGGCTCCAGGCTCATCTTCTGTCAATGTCTTGAACTCAATCAGCCTAAACAAAAATGTCCCTAATTAAATAAAAAGAGTATGGCATGTCCAACAGAGGTCCAAAACATACCCAGACTACTGCGTCACATCAGCTTCCTTTTCGAGCAGGTGTCTTTGTCAGGACTACATGACTAAGAAACTCAAAGTCTCAAAGTCTCTCAAACTCTTTGAAGGTAATCATAAACCCACCCCTTGCCTTTTCCTATTATAAAACGAAAACAGTTCACTACAAAGGGGTTTCATTTGCTACAAAATCTGTACAAATTTGCTACAAAATCTGGTCCATGTCAACAAAGAAACATTAGGCAACTCATTCTTCTCTGCCCCACTTGCCAATGTTATCAATACCCGATTGCTCTAACCTCAATAATTAATATTAACGTGTTTCTAGATTCCCTGGGAAACTAAAGATCTTCTGATTCTGTCATTCAACACATCAGAATGCTCCTATTTATAATTCAGAATAAGTCGCTTCTGTGAAAAACAACAGAGAGACAGGGATGTGAAAGAATGGGACCATTCTACCGCATCAGAACAAGAGATCGAAACATACTTGTTTTGTCGATCAGGCTCTGGGCTTGCTCTTCCATCCATTTCTGATAGTAGTCTTTCACATTCTCTTTGTGTTTCCTACCACTGCAGTGTGTCTTTCTCACAGATGGCTGTAAAACAAAAAAGTCCGATCAGTCACAGAAACAAGTTGCCCAAACTCGAAATTTTATAAAGCCTTTCCTTTATAGAAAAGCCAGGCTACCTCAAGAGGCTTAAGCTGGGTGCTAAAGCATTACTTATAAATATTATCCAGTAATATACTGTGGTAATTTACTGTATTATCTAAAACAAAGGTCCACAATCTGTGGCCCTTAGGCCAGCCACGTGATTTTGTAAAACAAGTTAGTGAAACAGCCACATTCGTTTATGTACTATTTCTTTTGCCCACAAAGCAGAACTGAGTCACTGTGGGGGACAGGCTTAGGAATCCTGGGCTTATACCAATGGGTTAACAAGGCATAGAAAAATAAAAAGCCATAGCATGCTCTCACCTGCGTTTGGGTAAACATGATTGGCACCCCAAGAATAGGACGGTGCAAAGGCACCAAGAATAGGGGGGTGCAAACCCCAAGGTAGATAGGGATGGGCAAAGGCCCAAGGTAGGAATGGGTGCAAAGGCTCCCAATACGAAGGCATATGAGGTAAGCAAGATTAGGCAGGTAGGGCAAAAGTGCCTCCCAATTTAGTACTATAGCAGAGAAGCTGCTTTCACAGGAGAATAGGGCCAAGTAAGGCAAAACAAGTAAATTGGACTATAGACCAATACGCCGCAGACTAAGCAGCCCAGAGCAGAGATGGTTAAAAAAGAAAAGGTGTCTTCTGTTGGTGGGAATGTAAACTGGTACAGCCCCTCTGGAAAACAGTGTGGAGGTTCCTCAGGAAACTAACAATAGAACTCCCTTATGACCCAGCAATAGCACTGCTAGGAATTTACCCAAGGGATACAGAAATGCTGAGGCATAGGAGCACATGTACCCCAATGTTCATAGCAGCACTCTCCACAATAGCTAAAGCATGGAAAGAGCCTAAGTGTCCATCAACGGATGAATGGATCAAGAAGATGTGGTTTATCTATACCATGGAATACTACATGGCAATGAGAAACAATGAAATCTGGCCATGTGTAGCAACATGGATGGACCTTGAGGGTGTTATGCTGAGCGAAATAAGTCAGGCAGAGAAGGACAAATATCATATGTTTGCACGTATAGGAGGATTAGGAGGAACTTGACGGAGGAACAAGGGGGAGAAGAAGGGGGGAAATGGTGGGGGAAAGGGAGAGAGGCAAACCATGAGACTCTTGAATGCTGACAAAAACTGAGGACTGATGGATGTGGGGGGGAGGAGGGATGGGCAGGGAGGAGGACACTTGTGGGGATGAGCACTGAGTGTTATGTGGAAACTAATTTGACAATAAACTATTTGTAAAAAAAAAAAAAAAAAAAAAAAAAAAAAGAAAAAGAAAAGGTGTCTTATTAACCCTGAGGTTATTTCCCCTATCTTCTCCCCTAGGCTAGCTAAGACAAACAGACACGGCGTCTCCTATCTGCCATTAACTACCATCTGTCTGGCACCAGGATTTTGCTTTACATTAACCCAAACCCCAAACATTGTATATCTTCAAAAACCCCCTTTCCCTCATGCCTATAAGTTAATGTTCACAGTATCTTGCCTCTTTGTGCACGCCCATCATGTTTGTAAGCCTTCTGATCTTAACAAATATGGGGCAAGGACCCTTATTCAGGGCTCTTGTCTTTTCCCAGACATTAGCCATCTCTCTCTCTCCTATTTTTTAATCCTTGCTGAGACAAGAAAGAACTTTAGACCCAGAGTCTACAAGTCATCACAACAAAAACTATATGGTCCACGAACCTAAAATAATTACAATCTGGCACTTTAAGAAAAGTTTGCAAACTCCTGATCTAGAATATAATGTCGTTTTAATGTCCTTTCTTAGGTTATTCTATAGCAAAATAATATAGTTTATATATTTATTTATATATACTTAATATATAAGTACTTTAAATATATATAAATATATATTTATATATATATAATACTGTTCATAAGAATATTTTCTTGTTAATGACTATAAGTCTAGAATACAGGCTATGTGAATCACATACAGACTTTATCTCTAGCCCACTAATCCTTTTGTTCTTTAAGAGCTTTACCAAGGTAAAACTGATATAAGATAAACTCCACAGTTACAACCATTTGTTTAAGTTAACATTTATTGAACACTTACCACATACCAAACACCATGCTATCTACTTTATAAGCAGTGTCTCAATCATCATAATAATCACATGCTCATAGTACAATGGAATATTAATCAGAACCGATCACTGATATACACCATATGGACAAATCTCAAAAGCCTGCTCAGCAAAAAAAAAAAAAAGAAAAAAAAGGATACATGAGTATATACCATAAAATTTCACTCATCAAGTTTTAAAACCAGTAATACTGATCTTTCATAATAAAAATCGGATCAGTCGGGGGCCAAGGGTACAGGAGAATGACTGCCGAAAAACACAAAGGGATATTTCTGGGGTGATGGTTCTATTATCTCAATGTACACACCAAACTGTTAAGTATTTGCCGAGTCATCATGCTGTATACTTAAAATGTGTGCATTTAATCAAACAAAGTATAAGTCAATAAAACTGATTTAAAAAGCACAAGGTTGGGGGGCACCTGGGTGGCTCAGTTGATTAAGCGTTCAACTGCAGCTCAGGTCATGATCTCACGGGTCCATGGGTTTTAGCCCCGAATCAGTCTCTGTGCTGACAGCTCAGACCCTGGAGCTCAGAGCCTGAAGCCTGCTTCTGATTCTGTGTCTCCCTCTTTCTCTGCCCCTCTCCTGCTTGCATTCTGTCTATTTCTCTCAAAAATAAATAAACATTTAAAAAATTTTTTTTTAAATCACAAGTTTGGCGCAACTGGGTGGCTCAGTTGGTTAAGTGTCCAATTCTTGATTTCAGCTCAGCTCAAGATCTAACAGTTCATGGGGTCCAGCCCCGCATCAGGCTCCATGCTGACAGCATGGAGCCAGCTTGGGATTCTCTCTTGCCTTCTCTCTGCCCCTCCCCTGCTCATGCTCTCTCTCTCTCAAAATAAATAAATAAGTAAAATTTAAAAAAAGAATCACAAGGTTGTCATCTTCAATTTATGCTCAAAGACTTGTCTTAAAACACATAGCAAGTAAGCAGCAAACCAAGGCCTGGAGCCCAGATCTTACTCAGATGCTCCTCATTGCCGTCTAACCACCCCCTACTGACATATCCTCTCTTCACAAAATTGCTTCAGAAGCAGCAGATATGACCAATGTCACATAAACACAGACTGTCTTTTTTTTTCATTTATTGATTTTGAGAGAGAGAGAGAGCGTGCAAGCATGAACAGTGGAAGGGCAGAGGCTGAGGGAGAGAATCCTAAGCAGGATTCATGTCTTTTTAATATTCTAGGTGCAAAATGGGAAGTATGTACAAAGTACTTCAGCTACATGCCAAAACAGGAAGCTAAGTCAAAGGAAAGCAGGAATGCAACTGGTTCAAGTTGTTAAGTTTTACCTCTTGCCTCTTTGTTGGACATCATTTTTACGTGAAACAACAAATGAGAAACCAATTGGATATTCAAGACTTCTCAAAAATAAATAAATGAAGTGAGGCTGTCACTTCAAGGAAGCAATTGGTAGTATTTATTGCCAATAATAAAATTTGAGCTTTCAAACACAACTCAGAATTTTAGAAAACCTTATCTACTACCATGAGCTTGTCGGCTTCCCAGTACTTAGAAGCCATTTCTGGGGCTCCTGAGTGGTTCAGTCGGTTAAGCATCTGACTTTGGCTCAGGTCATGATCTCACGGCTCAGGATCTCAAGCCCCAGGTCAGGCTCTGTCCTGACAGCTCAGAGCCTGAAGCCTGCTTCATATTCTGTGTCTCCCTCTCCTCTCTCTCTGACCCTCCCCAGCTAGCACCCTGTCTCTATCTCAAGAATTAATGAACTTTAGGGGCGCCTGGGTGGCTCAGTCAGTTAAGTGTCTAACTTTGGCTCAGGTCATGGTCTCGCAGTTCACCAGTTTGAGCCTCACAGTGGGCTCTGTGCTGACAGCTCAGAGCCTGAAGCCTGCTTCAGATTCTGTGTCTCCCTCTGCCCCTCCCCCGCTTGTGCTCTGTGTCTCTCTCTCTCTCTCTCAGAAATACAATATTTAGAAAAAAAAAAAAAAGAATTTAAAGGAAAGCCATTTCTGATTAGACAGTGACATTAATGTGAATTTTTATAGTACATAATCAAATGTGTCAACACTTGGAAGATTTGTTTAACTGAGTGAATCAATATTCCAATATTCATTTTCCAAATGACCAGAGCATTTTACAAAATCCTGTCTGGTAAAAGATTCACTCAAAGTGCAAGACAGACCAATGAATTTAGATGTAGCAGAGTATGAAAAGTCTGATATGGTTTAAGATTCCACACTGCAACTAACCATGTGTTGAGTCTGGGTGCAGTAACAAAGTATTAGAGAATATCCACAATCACCTAAAAAGGCTAGTAAGGTACCCCTCCTTTTTTCACTCTTTATCCATGAGAGGCTGGTTTCTTCACATAATTCAACCAAAACATAGTGCAACAAATTTGATGCAGAAGAATCCAGTGGTCTGCCATTACGTCAGGCATTAAAGAGGTCTGTAAAAAGGTTAAAGCAATGCCATTCTGCACTTTTTTTTTTAATATAGTATTTTATTTATTTCTGAGAGAGAGAGAGAGACACAGTGTGAGCAGGGGAGGGTCAGAGAGAGAGGGAGACACAGAATCTGAAACAGGTTCCAGGCTCTGAGTTGGCTGTCAGCACAGAGCCCGACACAGGGCTCAAATCCATGAACCGCGAGATCATGACCTGAGCCGAACTCGGACGCTTAACCGACTGAGCCACCCAGGCGCCCCCATTCTGCATTTTTTTGAACATGGCCACTTTTAACTTTTTTTGTACTATTATTATTTTATAAGTAGGCTCCATGTCCAGCACGGAGCACAACGCAAGGCTTGAACTCACCACCCTGATTGATATCAAGGCCTGAGCTGGGATCAAGAGTCAGCTTAACTGACTTGAGCCACCCAGGAGCTCCCATTTTTCATTTTAAAAGATCATTTGTTTCACAAATAAAGTTTGTTATTGTTACTTTCAAATCAGTAAGTATTTTTAAAATTTTAAGTTTTAATTTCAAATACAGCAAATATTAATAGCTAAACCAATATAAGCCCTGTAACTATTTTTTTAAAAGAATTCTTTAAGAATTTTCTTTAAATTGGTATTTTGGGGCACCTGGGTGGCTCAGTGGGTTGGGTCCTGACCTCGGCTCAGTTCATGATCTCACGGTTCGTGGGTTCGAGCCCTACATCGGGGTTCTGTGCTGGCAGCTCAGAGCCTGGAGCCTGTTTCAGATTTTGTGTCTCCCTCTGTCTCTCTGCCCCTCCCACTCATGCTTTTTCTCCCTTATTCTCAAAAACAGACATTAAAATAATAATAATAAAGAAAAGAACTCAGTAATTTTCAAGAATATAAAAGGACCATGACACAAAAAAGTGTGAGACCTGCCGGCATAGAAACCCTAAGTATACACTGCCCAGGCTCTTTTTACAGCTCTGTACAACTTACTGGTTTAGTAACATCCCGTGGGTCATTTATCTATACTCTACCTCAGTTTCCTCCTCTGTAAAATGGAGATAATGCTAACTGTATAGGCTCATCATGAACATTAAACAACATGATACATGTAAAGCATCTGGAACACTGCCTGAAACACAGTAAATATTCAATCTTAGTCGTTATTATTTAAGCAGTTTTAATTAAATTGAAGTACAGTACTCAGTTTCAAATTTAGTCATTTCTTTCCAGTTTAATCAGTCAAATGTCTGAATGCCTTGTCAAAATCAAATATTTTGGTTTTTTTTAAATATTTATTTTTGAGAGAGAGTGCAAGCAGGGGAGGAACATTGAGAGAGAGAGACACAGAATCCGAAGCAGGCTCCAGGCTCTGAGCTGCTAGCACAGAGCCTATGAGGGGCTCGAACTAATGAACGGTGAGATCTTGACCTAAGCTGAAGTGAGAGGCTTAACCAACTGAGCCACCCAGGTGCCCCCACAATCAAATATTTGAACTCCAGGACACGTTCCTGGAATTTTTACTTGTCATGTAAGGTTTTTTCACCTTCATTATTTTAGGTCTCAACTCAAAACCCTAACTGCAGGAAGACCAATAATTTCAAATTACGAAACCAGTTACAATAAAGATGCAGGGAAAGAAAACCAGGTTATTTTTTCCAAGCAGAAGCACTTAGACCTCAACAGGATCAAAGCACAAATTTCTACCTGAAAAACCCAATTTGTTATCTACAAGGTGTTTTGAAACTGAAAAGAAACCCTACTTACGGAGTCATGGGTGAGGTATGTGTCGCAGTAGTCACAATAAAACCTGGAAAGGGGTGGAAGGATAGAGAAAAAGACGACAACCAGTTAACAGATGCCCATCCACCGAAATGCAGTCCAACTAAGATAAAATATAAAAAGACCTATGAGCGATGCCAAGACGTCAATCAAATCGACCTAACACAAACTAGGCTTTTTTTGTTGCCTTGCCCGGAGCCGACCTACACACATCGGGAGACAACAGTATCTAGAACTCTCGGACTCCCTCCCCCACACGCTCTCGCTTCCCGGGAAACTTCAAGAGCTAGAACCCGCTCTGCACTTCCCCACTGGGCCACAGTAGCGACTGGGACCGCGAACATCCCCAGATTCGGGCCCCGACTCACTTAGGCATGTTGCTCTGCAGGCCGTTGACCACTCCGTCCCGCGCGCCGCCCGGAAGTGACGTACACAACAAGCGCCGACGCCGTTAAACCGACGAGTCAAACGCGACTGCAGAAACCCCACCCGGTCATCCAATCCGCCCTCCGCGCTGCGCTGTGACCGCCTTACCCGCCGCGGCCGAGCGAGGGGCGGGGCTTCCCCTTTATCTCGTCACTTACATCTAGGCGGGAGGGGAGGTACGAAGGGTCCCCGCGAGGTTCAATCCACGCGCCTGTAATCCTGATTCTTGACGCTTCCCGGGAGCGTGATAGTCATTCTTGGGACGACTAAGTAATGCCTGCTCTGCGCCAGGCATTGCTATAAATGCTGGGAAGACGGCAGTGAACAAAACAGACAAATGTCCCTGCCCTCATGGAGTAAGGCACTAGGAGTTGGGGAAGACAAATAATAAAGTCAATACGTAGTAGGTTAGATGGAGTCGAGGAGTAGGGGTTGGGGAGTGACGCAGAGAAGGGAGAAGTTCAACTTTAAGACAGCTTGCTGAGAAGGTGACAACTGGAAAATAATAGGTTTCCTAAAGCAAAAAACTTGGGGCAAGCGATTTTACCTAGCGTCTCATTTTTAAGTCTCATTAACCCTAGATGATAGAATCCCCAGTTTCAAGTCCCATTTCCCGCTTCCTAGCCTTGCTGTTTCAAAAAGTTATTTAATCTTTCTGAGCCTCAGTTTCCTCAACTGAAAAATATGGGTAATAATTCTTACCTGTGGGGCTTAAGGAACAATTAACTGGGAAAATGCGTGTACGTGTTTAGGGCAATGTCTGTACATAATAATTCCTCCACATATGGCAGTTATCTTTACATAAGGGGATACTGGTAGAAGTACCTTGTCTACAGATCTAATCTGTTCTAGCAACAGGGCCAAACTTCCAACCTGGTCTATCAGACTCCCAGGCCTGACCTCTCAGAAAAGGGACATAAATGTAGGGAATGGAGAGGTAGAGCTTTTGATTCTACTGTTTGATATTCTCTGAGGGTGGAATTACAACCAAAATAATAATAATTGCTACCTTATTTGAATGTTTCCTATATCCTAGGTGCTTTGGATGCATTAATTTCTTTGATCTATTCAATAATCCTATTATTCACATTTCAAATGGTGAAACTGAGCTTTAACAAGGTTAAAGTGTACCATAAAAATTATTTCTTCATCTTAAAACTGCACAATGAAATTATCAAGTGTTCACTGCTCTAACAGTGGTAAATCTTAGTATTATTGATAGTAGAACAATCAGGTATTATACATCTCCTGCTTAAGGTGGCTAACATTCAATAGGCATCAACTGTGACCTATTCTTTCCAAAATGTTTCACTTGGATCTAACCAAGCTCTAGGATAGGCAAGAGGATCAAGATAAAGGAAAGCAAAAGGCAACAAACAGATCCAGAAGGTGGGATAGTCTCTAAGACAAAGGGCTCCCTTTCCTTTACCATGTCAAGAAAACATGTCATTCTAGATTAAAATGTTTTTAACAGACATAACAATCAGATGTAGTATACATTTCAGGGTTAGATCCTAGTTTGGACAAACTAGCTCTAAAAGACATTTTAAGGAAAATATCTGGGCCTTAATGTCACAGTTCTAGAAACCCACCTTTGTGTAGGTACCCTCAGTTGATTGTTTTCAATTTTTTTTTACATTTATTAATTTTTGAGAGATGGCATGCATACACGCACAAGTGGGGGAGGGGCAGAGAGAGACTGACACACAGAATCCAAAGCAGGCTCTGGGCTCTGAGCTGTCAGCACAGAGCCGGACCAGGGCTCCAACTCATGAGATCATGACCTGAGCTGAAGTTGGATGCTTAATCGACTGAGCCACCCAGGTGCCTTTAGCTGATTCTTTTCAGACGGGATAGATTTGTCAACTATATCTTGAATTTTTTTCCCCCTAATTTCCCTCTGTGCTGATCTTGGGTCTTTTTTACCTTCAAATTCATTCCTCACCCTTACCTTGCTCTTTTCAGTATGGCAGTGTGGGGAATGATGTCTTGGACTCCTGTGCTGATTGCCTTCCAGACTGAGTTGCTGGGCGCTGTCGAAGAGAGGCACTTCTGGAAGTGGAGTGAGTGACGAAAAAGGCAGAGAATCCCCAGTCTCAGGCTGTCTCTTCTGACTTAGCTGGCTCCAACCTCTAGCAGTTCCAGGCCTTGGGCTCTGGTAACAAGATATCCTTCTGTCCCTCCAGCATGAGGACAGCACTAGTTTCTTGCTATTGCTTATCTCTGGGCTACTTCACTTTTCTCTTTTCACTTTTTATCTCTGCCAGCACCTGTATAAACCAATGCTCTGATTTAAATTCCCTCTGTTTTGAAAGACTTCGAGTGGTCTCTGGTTTCTAGGCCTCGAAGGGTGACCTTACTTCCAAGTTCCAGAGGGTATCTCCCCTGTGTCTGGTCAATGGGCCTTAGGATCTGTGAAGCAGTGCTTTTCACACTTCCTCTAGTGTCCCAAGCAACTCAGAGAGTTCATTTATTACCCTTATTCCCCTAGGTGTAGGGTGAGAATCCCAAGTGCCTACCTGAGCTTGAAATGCCCTTGAACTGTGGTATGATATGTTAAAAGCTCATGATGTTTGCAGTCTACTTTATAAATAACATATTTATATTTTTTAATTTCTCTTAAGGTATTTTAACACTTAAAATGCATTTATTTATTTTTGAATAAGTAATGAGTACACATGATGGAAAATTAGAAAAGAACAAAAGTAACACTCCCAGACACACATACCCTTACCAGTTTCATGCATATCCTTCCAGAGATAGACCACGCATATACAAACATAAACATAACATTTCCTGATTCTACTTCCCAATACTGCATAGTATTTTATTGTATAGATGTACCTCAATATATTAAGCAGTCTGCTATTGATGAACAGACTGTTTCATCAATTGTTTCCTGTCTTTTGCTATAATAATGATGCTGAAATACACAGTTGATAGGCACATATATTTGTAGGATGGATTTCTAGAACTAAAATTAATACGTTTGAGTTTTGCATCTATAAGTTTAAAAAAGATTGTAAAATTTCTCTCTATTATGGTCCCATTTAAGAGTGCTTTTTCATCTTTTTAATCCAGTAGGTTAAAAGTGTCAATGTGTTATAATTTTAATTTCTCTTGCAAAGAAGTTGAGCACTTTTTTTCATATGTTTAAGATGCTTGAAGAATCAGGGGCACCTGGGTGGCTCAGTCAGTTAAGCGTCCGACTTCGACTCAGGTCTCAGGTCGTGATCTCACGGTTTGTGGGTTCAAGCCCCACGTTGGGCTCTGTGCTGACCCCTAGCTCAGAGCCTGGAAACTGTTTCAGATTCTGTGTCTCCCTCTCTCTGACCCTCCCCTGCTCACGCTATCTCTCTCTCAGAAATAAATAAAACATTAAAAAAAAATTTTTTTAAAAGATGCTTGAAGAATCAGGGCGCTTGGCTGGCTCAGTTGGTGGAGCATGTGACTCTCAATCTTGAGGTTGTGAATTTAAGCCCCATGTTGGGTATAGAGAATACTTAAAAATAAAAAACCTTAAAAAAAATCTTAATCCACAGAGTGCTCCATTTTGATTGCCTTTTCAGGTCCTTTGCCTTTTAGTCTAGTGTTAGCCTTGTCATTTTTTTAATTTGTAGGTAACTTCTTAGATATTAACAAAGTTAACATTATTATAATATGAGTTGCAAATATTTTCCTTTTGTTAATTGTCGTTGGCTTTATTTTTGGTGATTTTTGTCATGAAAGAACTTTTAATTTGTATGTTGGTTAAACTTATTAATCTGTTATTTTACAGTTTCCAAGCTTTATGTCATAACCTGGAAAGTCCTTTCCCTTTCCGAAATTTTTTAAATTCCCTGAATTAAATATTTTTTTCCTGTTCTTTTATTATGTCATTTTTTTTCAGGTTCATATCTTTTTATCTATCTGGAATTTGGGGGTTTTTTTAGTTGCTTTTAATTTTTTTTTTTAAATTTTGAGAGAGAGACAGTGAGCACAAGCAGGGGAAGGACAGAAAGAGAGGAAGAGAAACAATCCCAAACAGGTCTGGCACTGTCAGAGTGGAGCCTCACCTGGGACTCAATCCCACAACCTGTAAAATCATAACCTGAGCTGAAATCAAGAGTCAGATAATGATCCAATTGAGCTTCTCAGACAGCCCTATCTGGAATTTGTTTAAAAAATTTTTTTAATGTTTATTTATTTTTTGAAAAAGAGATAGAGACAGAGTGCAAGAGGGGAGGGGCAGACCTGAGGTAGACACAGAACCTGAAGCAAGCTCCAGGCTCTGAGCTGTCAGCACAGAGCCCTATGTGGGATTCAAACTTATGGAACATGAGACCATGACCTGAGTGGAAGTCAGACACTTAACCAACTGAGCCACCCAAGTGCCCCTATAGTTATTTTAATATAAAAAATACTTTTCAGTCACCCAATTAAATTAACTTTATCGCTTCCAAAAAAAAATTCCCAGCGTTGATTCATATGTTAACGTTTGTCATGTGGTTTGGCACATCCCCTAGTACACTGTTGTATATCCCTGTAGGGTAAAGTTACCAGCTAAATCCATGATGGCCAGTTAAACTTGAATTTCAGATAAACAATGGATAATTTTAAGTTGAAGTATGTCCCATGAATTTTTTTTCTGTATTTGAAAACCCCACTGCAGGGTACTCTATTAAAAAAATCATTATCTTAGAGGCACCTGGCGGGCTCAGTCAGTAGAGCATGTGACTCTTGATCTCAGGGTTATGAGTTCAAGGCCCCCCATTGGGTGTGAGACGACTTAAAAAATAAAATCTTGGGGGGAAAAGAGTAATTATCTTAGTTATATGTGGTAAAACTAACTTCAACGAGTGTTGGCAAATAGTTCCCTATAGAGGCTCAGAAATCAGGGACATCTCAGGGTAGATTTATCTCCAGGTGTGGTCTTAAAAAAATGTTATTTGGTCTCTGTCTCTCCATCTCTCATCTCATCTCTGCTTAACTGCTTGATCCTCTCACATTACAGCCTGGGCTCCTCCCTGCAACCAGGTTAAGACAGCCTCAAATATCTCCAAAATTCCA